GAAATCAATTCATTAAACACTGCAGCACAAAGCGGTATTTCAAAAGGGAAATAAGGAATTTGTCTAAATTTATCTGATTTATTTTACATTTTTAAATATTTATTTACATTTTAAATTCAAAAATATAAATAAATCGCTTTTCAATTGCTTGACAAATAGGCATATATTGACAAGCTGCTTATTTAATTTTAAAATATTGTTTTTTATATATAAAATGTAAATTTTAGTTATGTTTAATAATATAATAACCTTTTCAAATTGATAAATAAATTGATTTTATTTGCTTGTTTATTTTGTTGCATGTAACTTCATTTTAACTACAAAAAAAAAACAATTATTAAATAAATATGCAGATGGTCTAAATTAATCCATTTATTTTTCAATTTGAAAAGTGATTTATTAACATTTTGGATTTTGAAGTGTTATATTTTAACCGAAAAAAGCAGTATCTCAAAGATTAAATAAAAAATAATAATAAATTACTATTAACTATGAATTAAATATATCTATTTATTGTTCATTTGAAAAGTGATGTATTTAAACAAGCATTTTTATATGTGTACATTTAATTATTGAAATACTTTTTTTGTGATTTATTAACATTTGGATTTTTTTAACAAGTAAAATGTAGATAAAATACAATAAAATAAGCATTTTTAAAGAAAAAGAAAAAATAGATTTTTTTCAAAGATAAAGCTTTCATCTAGTTTTCTACAAAAGTCAATGCTTTTTGACTGGCACTATTAACGTTGCATCATTTCCTCCCATAAATAATTTTTTAAAATATGATGAACCCCTTAAATGTATTATTTCTGAAGTCTACAGTCAGCAAAGCTGGTATCTTTTACCTTTATGTAGGCCCCTGGGTAGATTTTGTGCACTGCATCTCCTGGCGCTCGACCCGCTTCTCTGTCCAGGTAATAACTCTGCACAAAGACGGCATGATCGCTCATGCAGCGCATCCACACATCGCCCTCGCCGCGACACTCCAGCTGCACTCCTTTACCTATGTGCAACCTGCAGAATAAATTACTATTAACTATGAATTAAATATATCTATTTATTGTTCATTTGAAAGGTTATGTATTTAAACAAGCATTTTTATATGTGTACATTTAATTATTGAAATACTTTTTTTGTGATTTATTAACATTTGGATTTTTTAACAAGTAAAATGTAGATAAAATACAATAAAATAAGCATTTTTAAAGAAAAAGAAAAAATAGATTTTTTTCAAAGATAAAGCTTTCATCTAGTTTTCTACAAAAGTCAATGCTTTTTGACTGGCACTATTAACGTTGCATCATTTCCTCCCATAAATAATTTTTTAAAATATGATGAACCCCTTAAATGTATTATTTCTGAAGTCTACAGTCAGCAAAGCTGGTATCTTTTACCTTTATGTAGGCCCCTGGGTAGATTTTGTGCACTGCATCTCCTGGCGCTCGACCCGCTTCTCTGTCCAGGTAATAACTCTGCACAAAGACGGCATGATCGCTCATGCAGCGCATCCACACATCGCCCTCGCCGCGACACTCCAGCTGCACTCCTTTACCTATGTGCAACCTGCAGACAGAAAGACAAGACAGCTGGAGAATCAGTGACTGAAACAGCACTGCCTTTACAACATTTCTCCTTCCATCAGATAGTAATGTAACACAAATAAACACATGCCACCGAGTGTCATAACCAAAACCAGATGTACCTTTGATGTCTTACAGTCCATTTCATCAGTTTGTTAAAGCCAGTTATTTCCCGGCTGTTACTCTTACATAATCTGTTGTTTATTATTGTTCATCACAGTGTCAATCTGGCACAGTAAGACGTTTTTTGCAACATGTGTGTTAAAGCAAACATAAAACCTGTGAAATTCATCCATACACAAATAAACACATATCACACACATATAGCCTCTAGGGTCTGGACAATATAGCTTGATATTTTTCAGCCTTTTGATGATTTTCATCATATTTATGGTAAAAATGTATATATATATATCTCTCTCTTTTTAATCTGATTTTAATCATCAGTATTATTTTAGCATGATTCACACATTAATATTTTAAAAGAGCTTTTACTTTAGCTTTTTTTAAATGTAATTTTTTATTTTCGTTTAGGTTCTAGTAATTTTGTGATGTGCTTTAGTCCTTTCTATTAGCTTTAATAATGTTATTTATTTCAATTAGTTGCCAATGCCACATTTCTCATTTTTGTTTAAGTTTTGTATCTAATATTCAGATTTTATTAAATTCTAGCTGTATAACAAAACTGTTAGTAATTAAACACCTCTATTGTAATTCATGCAGTGTTGTTATTGTTAGGTAAAACTAAAACGATTTATTTTATTGATTGAAATAAAGCTGAAATAAAAATCTAAATATTAAATGAAAAAATAAGCTTCAAAACTTGAATGAAAATGAGAAATGTTGCTTTGGAAACTAACTGACATAAATAAGTTGATAAAACTGAAATGTTACCTAAAACAGTTAGAAATAATCCAAATAACAAAAAGACATAAAGTCACTAAAACGTAAACTAAAATAACATTAAAAATAAAAGCTGATTCAAAACATTATTAAATTAATAAATACTATAATTGTATATAAAATAACACTGATTTCTCCTCCTTGCTCTAAAAATGTCTTTCTTCAATAGCTTGAAACTGCCTGCATCTGCACCAAGAATCATCATTGTTTGATGCCCTTACAACTCTAATTTTAGCGCTTTCATTCAAGTTCTAGAAATATGAAACAAGTCTACTGGCATTGGTATTTAAAACTTAAAGGAACACTCCTCTATTTTTGAAAATAGGCTCATTTTCCAGCTCCTCTAGAGTTAAACAGTTGAGTTTTACTGTTTTCGAATCCATTCCGATGCTAACGTAGGGTGACCATACGAGCCATTTTCCCAGGACGCGTCCTGGCCAGGATTTGTTTTGGCTTTGTTTTCCTGTTTTCTTGCTTGCTGAAGGTAATGATCAAAAAGTAGTTTGACCAATAACATGCAAGCATTGAACATAATGGACCAATCATGGCGTGTGAGAAGGTGGGATCTACGGTCAAAGCGATGCAATTACGCGTACATATTAGGTGTGTTCGACTTAAAAGCAGTGCGGCTCGGACCGATCAGTGTTTGACATCAAAGTACCTCGAGAGCGTTTCGAAAGCATAACTGTCTGTGTGGTACTTTGAAGTCATACACCGATCGGTCTGCACACGCAAACAAAGCCAAAACCTAGATATTTTAGGCAATATAGAAATCCTGTCCAGGACACGTCCTGGAAAAATGGCACGTATGGTCACCCTATGCTAACGGTCTAATCAGATTCAATGATCTATGCTAAGCTACAGCTAAAAGTGCTACCGCCAGACCCGGAGATCGGCTGAATGGATTCGAAAACGGTAAAACTCGAACTGTTTAACTCTAGGGGAGTTGGAAAATGAGTCTATTTTCAAAAATAGTGGCATGTTCCTTTAATAGCTAAATAAAAAGGACATTAAAATCATTGTCAAATACACAATGCTGGTTTTACATCTGCAACAAAGTAATATGGAGTAAATCGTGAATATTCAATATATGACTCAGCTCTGAGATTCATTGGCTGGAACAGTTGTGTGATTGCGGCACACATACCTGGCGCGCTCACTGGCGTCTGTGCGGTGCACATTACTGAGCTGACCCAGGCAGAAGCGGTCTCCTCCTGAGGGGTCCACATACCCGTCAATCGTCACCACCGGACAGCTGGACAGCACTTTAAACATCTCCCCCACCTGCACATCCATCTCAAAGTATGAGATGGAGCACCAGAACTCAGGACCTGTGGATGCAGAGCATACTGAACTGAGTCTGAGAACATGAGCAGAAATGAAAATATTACCATTGGTGAGACTATTTAAAGTTTTTGAAAGAAGTCTCTTATCTTCACCAAGGCTGCATTTATTTGAACAGAAACACAGTAAAAACAGTAATATTGTGAAATGTTATTACAATTTAAAGTAGCTGTTTTCTATTGTAATCTATTTTAAAATGTAATTTATTCCTGTGATCAAAGCTGAATTTTCAGCATCATTACTCCAGTCTTCAGTCTCACATGATCCTTCAGAAATCATTCTAATATGCTGATTTGCTGCTCAAGAAATATTTCTGATTATTAGCAATTGTTAAATCAGTTGTGCTGATTAATATTTTTATGGAAAATGGATTCTTTCTTGAAGTTCTACAATTAACAGCATTAATATGAAATGGAACATTTTTTGTAACATTATAAATGTCTTTACTGCCACTTTTGATCAATTTAATGTGTCCTTGCTGAATAGAAGTAATAATTTCTTTAAAATTCTATTAAATTGTGTGTTTTAGTGGGGAGAAGACTATATAAAGTATAAACCTGGATGGTTGGAGACTGGAGGGGGGAAAGACGCTGAACTGTGATGCTGAGACCCTGATAGAGAAAGAAATAATAATGGATTGATTCAGTTCTATTAAGAATAATGGTATATTTGCATACATGTTTGTAGCAATGTTTAAGGCATACGTACAGAAGTGTGGGTGATGGAGAGGAGGCTGGTGGCCGCGTCCGTTTTGCTGGGGTCCTACTGGAGTGTAGGAGGCTGTGCTGCTGCCTGTCCAGTTTGCTGCAGCAATTGAAAGATTAGAAATGTTTTGTGTATGAAGCAATGAAAAGATCATAACACCTAAACGGGCATGACATGACAAGTTTCCAGCGACAAGTATTTTATCTGTCTACACTGAAAGAGAAAATATATGCCAAACATGCCAAAACTACGGCCAATAAATGTGATGTTTGATATACAGCTTTGAGGAGTGCAGTTTGGATAAATGAGATTTCCCAAATATTTTCATTAATTGAAATAAAGCTGAAGTAAAATCATAAATGTTGATGAAAAACTAACCTTGGCAACTAACTGAAACAAAATAAATGCTGACATACTAAAATTACTAACACTAGAACTACAATTTAAAAAAAATTAAAGCTAAAGAAAAGTGTTAAATAATAATAAAAATGTCAAAAACACATAACAAAATCACTAAAATTTAAACCAAATTTAAAAATGAAAATGTTACATTTAAAATAAAAATTTTAAAAGTTATAAAAATATAAATAAATACTTTAATAATATATAAAAAATAAAATAAAATAAATCATAATAATAACAATAATTGACAGAAACAGGTTTCTTTATCAAATAATATAATAGCATAAAAATAACACTTAAATAACTAATTACTACAGGTATCTGCAGGATTTTAAAACCTTTTTAAGACCTGCACAAATAAAATTAATACCAAACGAGTGGAGGAGGGCAATATCTATGGTAACTGTAAAAAGCATGATTTACAGTTTAGATGCAGGTTTTCACAAAAACTAAAAGGTTTACTAAATGATAAACTTCACATTTAAACAATTTTTAAGAAAAGAGATGTCAAAATGATCTATTATTATATTAATTTAAACAATTATTATTAATAAATTATTATATTAAAAAACATAAATATATCTTAGCGTCTTAATTATTTAGATTTTTATAATGCATTAGCATTAGCTTATTGTCGATCCACTGGTTCAGATTTACAACGGAGTGTTTGCTGCATATGGGTCGATTTTCCCATTGGTCTGAACAAAAACAGCAGAGGGGCTTATAGAAAATGCACATTCACTTCGGAACCGCAGAAATATAGTGGTTTCCCCGGTAACGGCAGTACACAAAGCAGCACAGCAGCTGACTTTGGTCGAATTCCAAACGGAAGTGAGCATCCCTGTGCCCTACTCCCTTTGAAGGGCAGGACCCTTGAAGTGTGTTCTTTGAAGGGTGTAGAGCATTACGGTCTCGTATAAGCGTTTGGAACTCCCTCGGCGAAGGGAATGACTGACCAAATTTTACCTTGACAATGCTGTGCGTGCGAAAGTGTGAATGCAATTCAGCACTCCATCAGATGTTGCAAATAAATATTTCTTCTTATTATTTTATTCAAATATTGTCTAATTGTGTCTTATTTACTATTAAAGTTTTTCAAACTAAACTTGCTTACACTACCGTCTTAAATCATATTTCTAATCACTGACGAAAAATAGTTTGTATTACATTAAAACAGACCAATTTAATTAGCCTATTCTACTTACATTTGTATGTGAACTCGAAATCAACCCCAACTTTGCTTTAAAAAACATCGCAAGATCTCCTAACCGAAGATCACATGATCACATACGAAAATCACTTCCGTGAAGTGACCATCGCATGTTCCCTTCGCTAACGGACTTCTTGGAAGGGCCCTTCGTGAAGGGATTCAGTTGTTCACTTTAGTTTGGAACGTCCCTACAAACGGCGTCCCCTTCCCGAAGTGCCCTTCAAAGGCGCAAAAAAGCCTTTTGGAATTCGCCCTTTGAAGCGTGCAGTGCTCATGTTTATTTAATGAAATCATAGCCTTTGTTAAGTTATATCGCAATTCTTGTCTTTCCGTCCCCAAATTTAAGACCTCTTGAAATCATAATTAAGACTTTCTTGTACCATTTAAGACTTTTATGGCCTTAAATTTGAAACAACTAAATTGAAGACTTTTTAAGGACCAGCGGGAACCCTGTTACTAAAAATCTAGCTTAATAAATTGGAAGAGGAAACATGTAAACCTCTTTTCAAAATAAAGTTTAACCAGAATATGAACCTTAATCAGAAAATTATGTGCATGTAAACATGGCATTGTAACACCTGTCAACAAACTCAAATGAACACAAACAGGATTTATCACTAGTCGTGTTGTGATTGTTTAGGTGGCGGTGCAATACTCACTGTGAAAGGAGCCTTGCGTCTGGGAGTGTTTGGAGCTGTTGTAGCCGTTCTGGTTGGGTGGAGGCTGGGGTGGGACAGGGGTCTGTGGGGGTCCATGTGTGGGGGTGGAGGGGGGAGGTGTAGGGGTCATGACTTGACCCTGAGGAGATGCTATCTGAAGTAAGCCTTCACCATGGCCTCCCTGCATCGGCATCATAGAGGCTGAAGCTGAAAGACATGAGAGTTTGGAAGACGACATTGTAATTACAACTAGGGCTATCACAATTCCTCGATTCAATTCGAGTGCTCGATTTTAAAAAATCCTCGATTGCATTTTGCCCGTGTCGAGTAATCTGCAAAATACCGGAAGTGGCGCATTTCACAGACGAGAATCCCTGAAAATCATTATTAGACCATTACATTATTACATAATATGTTATAATAAACCCATTTTAAAATCATAATAAAGCATAATGCTATTGTGAATTCACAAACGCTACGATTCAATTAAATAAACATATGCGATGCCGGGTTCAATATATGCCCTTTTTAAATTATTTACATGCGTGTAGGTTACGCATCTCAGAGCGGCTGCGTTCACAGTAAATGCTGCTCCACACAAACTGTTATCATTTACATGCGTGACCAAATTTTACCTTGACAATGCTGTGCGTGCGAAAGTGTGAATGCAATTCAGCACTCCATCAGATGTTGCAAATAAATATTTCTTCTTATTATTTTATTCAAATATTGTCTAATTGTGTCTTATTTACTATTAAAGTTTTTCAAACTAAACTTGCTTACACTACCGTCTTAAATCATATTTCTAATCACTGACGAAAAATAGTTTGTATTACATTAAAACAGACCAATTTAATTAGCCTATTCTACTTACATTTGTATGTGAACTCGAAATCAACCCCAACTTTGCTTTAAAAAACATCGCAAGATCTCCTAACCGAAGATCACATGATCCCAGACGAAAATCCCTTCCGTGAAGTGACCATCGCATGTTCCCTTCGCTAACGGACTTCTTGGAAGGGCCCTTCGTGAAGGGATTCAGTTGTTCACTTTAGTTTGGAACGTCCCTACAAACGGCGTCCCCTTCCCGAAGTGCCCTTCAAAGGCGCAAAAAAGCCTTTTGGAATTCGCCCTTTGAAGCGTGCAGTGCTCATGTTTATTTAATGAAATCATAGCCTTTGTTAAGTTATATCGCAATTCTTGTCTTTCCGTCCCCAAATTTAAGACCTCTTGAAATCATAATTAAGACTTTCTTGTACCATTTAAGACTTTTATGGCCTTAAATTTGAAACAACTAAATTGAAGACTTTTTAAGGACCAGCGGGAACCCTGTTACTAAAAATCTAGCTTAATAAATTGGAAGAGGAAACATGTAAACCTCTTTTCAAAATAAAGTTTAACCAGAATATGAACCTTAATCAGAAAATTATGTGCATGTAAACATGGCATTGTAACACCTGTCAACAAACTCAAATGAACACAAACAGGATTTATCACTAGTCGTGTTGTGATTGTTTAGGTGGCGGTGCAATACTCACTGTGAAAGGAGCCTTGCGTCTGGGAGTGTTTGGAGCTGTTGTAGCCGTTCTGGTTGGGTGGAGGCTGGGGTGGGACAGGGGTCTGTGGGGGTCCATGTGTGGGGGTGGAGGGGGGAGGTGTAGGGGTCATGACTTGACCCTGAGGAGATGCTATCTGAAGTAAGCCTTCACCATGGCCTCCCTGCATCGGCATCATAGAGGCTGAAGCTGAAAGACATGAGAGTTTGGAAGACGACATTGTAATTACAACTAGGGCTATCACAATTCCTCGATTCAATTCGAGTGCTCGATTTTAAAAAATCCTCGATTGCATTTTGCCCGTGTCGAGTAATCTGCAAAATACCGGAAGTGGCGCATTTCACAGACGAGAATCCCTGAAAATCATTATTAGACCATTACATTATTACATAATATGTTATAATAAACCCATTTTAAAATCATAATAAAGCATAATGCTATTGTGAATTCACAAACGCTACGATTCAATTAAATAAACATATGCGATGCCGGGTTCAATATATGCCCTTTTTAAATTATTTACATGCGTGTAGGTTACGCATCTCAGAGCGGCTGCGTTCACAGTAAATGCTGCTCCACACAAACTGTTATCATTTACATGCGTGGAGCGTCTCAAACTACATCTCTGCATATTGCTGTAAATTTGGGTTTATTAAAACGTTCATCTGGGAACGCAATGTGCGCCATTTCATCAGATTTGTAAGGTAAATCATTTATAAACCTACGCAAACACAGGAGAATACATCAATATCTTAATCAATATGTTAACTGTTCATCGCGATTTCAAAATAAAAGCTCGAACTCTCACTCTGAGTTTTCACGTTTTGATGTCCACATATTCAAGAAATGACAGTGGCTATAACATTTCTGTCGTAAAGAAAAGGCCAAATATTAAAGATTAAGTGGACATTTTGTTTAGTCAATATTAAACAAGGATTAGATTGCGCTGTAAAGTGTAAAAACAATCGTCAGGCTGTTGGCGCCCTCTGCAGGCATTTGTTATCATGCGTAATGTACATTAGCTCTATAGTTTATAATACATTATGTATTTTACCAGTTTTGTTCAACTTAAAACCATGATTACTTGCTTTTGATACTTTATTTGAACTAATTATTATTGCCTCATTGCTATTATATATGTATTTCAAGTCATTTTAAAATCTATTGTTCGCTTAAGTCTATTTTTATTACCACAAAAAAATGTATTATAATATCCGATTACCAGATTAAATGTCAGAATAATCGACCGATTACTTGATTACCAAAATAATCGTTAGTGACAGCCCTAATTACATCAACTGTGAGTCCTGTGTGCTCTTACCGGTGGGGGAGAGGGGTATATTGGAGTAAAGGGTGACTGGTGGAGGCGCGCAGCTGGGTTCTGAAGGCAGCTGTAGAGGAGGCAGGGGCTGGCCGTAGTGGTCAGGAGGAGGGAGTTTCATCGCCCCCTGGTGGTCATGCTGAGGAGCCAAGCCTGCGGGAACGTCCATCTGGATGCAGTCATGGCTGTACTCTTCCTTTATCAGTCTGCCAATGGGACCTAGATACCAGCCAGAAGACAAACTTCAATCATTTTACTGAATCAGTTCATTTCAAAATAAATAAATAAATAATAAATCCCAGAATTATTTGGGACTTATTCGAATCAGTGAATCTTTTTTGAACCTGTGCGGAGTGGCAGTCTTTTTTATAGAAAAATGTCAAATAACACTGTTTATGTCACGAATTCAGTCCATGGACTTCTGTTTATTCACCACCAGAGGTCACCCTTTCCATTTCATTGACTCGCGCGCTACATTAACTGTTGCATAGCACCCCGGACTACATTTCCCATCATTCTTTGCACAATTTGCACACTGCCCTGATTGCACTCATTGCACACAGCTGTTTCTAATTACCTCATTCACTATATAACACCCACTCTAACCACATTTCTCTGCTGAGTATTGTTTAGCCTGTACCCCTTTCCGAGTCTCCGTGTTTTCCTTGTTTTGCCTTGCCTGTTTTTGCGGTTTTTGATCTTTGCCTGTTTTCCTGTTTTTTTCCCTCTCGTCTCGCCCCTGTGATTCTGTCTGCCGATCGGTGACCTACGCTAGCCCTAGGACTATTCTTGTGTTTTGCCTGCCATATACCTGTTTGCCATTGTTTGACCCTGCCTGTTTACCACGTCTCTCTATTAAAAGCTTGCAGATGGATCCACATGTCTCACGTCTCGTCAGCCCCGTTACAGTTTATCACCATGTTTTTAATATTTCGTAACTTTATCTGTTCATTTATAAAGATTTCAATAAATTAGATTAAATTAAAATAAGAATATATATATATATACACTTTATATTTTTATAAATTATATAATTTATCATTTTATTTATTTAATGTATGAAAAATATTTTAATAAAAGTTTGAAATAATTAATTTTAATAATCATGTTTATTGAACAGCAAGAAACAAGATCAGCATATTAGAATGATTTCTGAAGGATTTTATTCAGCATTGCATCACAGAAATAAATAACATTTTAAAATATATTCAAACAGTTATTTGAAATTGTAATAATATTCCACAATATTATTGTTTTTACTGTGTTTCTGATAAAACAAATGCAGCCTTGGTGAGCATAAGAGACTTCTTTCAAAAACAAAAAGAAATCGTAATTATTCCAAACATTTGAACCGTAGTGTATGTATGTATGTTTATATATGATTATTGCTTACCTGTGTTTTGAAGACTAAGACCAACTTGAGATGAGAGGGAAAAAAAGACAAAATAGAAAAACGATATTACAATGTTTTCCTTCACTGCTAAAAAGCATGAGACACTATTTTTCCAGGCACAGGAAGTGCTGCACACAGCTCAGTAACGTCTTGGTTCATGGTAATGAATGAAAGGACAGCAGACTCACCGATGCCTGGTGACACCACTCTCTCGTAATGGTAAGGGTTCACACAGACATTATCGTATTTGAGGTCAAATGCGTACTGGCAGAATTTCACATGCTTGAGCTCATTCTTGTGAAGGTCGGGCCAGCGCCACAACCGCGCATAGATTACATGAGGAAAACCTTTACGCCCGGCAACCTATGGAAAGAAAACATGAGAAACAAGAGAAGGAAGAGTTCATGAGGATTACAACATAGTGTAATAACACTGTAGGCAAAATAATCTGTTAAGCTCTGCACAATAATAACATAGATATTAACCAGTCATGGGAAAGTTTTCAACCAATTAAAATGGAATCTCACAATTCAATTCAGGTAATTTTCTAAATTATTGACAAAATGATGCAGCCATACACCAAGATAGTGGGTCATGATTTGGTTCAATTTGATTATTACATTAAAACATGCCTTATAATAGTAGTTATAATCTATTACTAAATTATGTGATCACTACAGAGTTGTTTTAATATTATTTACGTACTAATTATAGTTTAGTAAATTATAATAAACAACAATAAATTATAGTATTTTATATTTATATTTTTGGGGCATTTTATGTGCTTTTTATTAGCCTAGTTTAAAAAAAAACAATTCTACCTAGCCTATTTAATTTATTTCAGTTTTTAAAATGTATTATACATTATATTAATAAATGTATATATTGATATTAATGCATTTCAGCTATTATTACATTTATTTCAAAATTTTCATTTATTTATTTTTCCATCTAATATTTACATTTTATTTCAGCCTTATTTCAATAACTTTCAAAGCTAAATTTCAAAGCTAGTTTTAGCTTTGGTTAACAATAATGTTGTATCGAATGTATTTTAATTATGTATCGTATTTTTTTTAATAGATATTAGAACATTTAAACTGTGTGAAATACATGTCATTTTAAAAATATCTAGTTTTATATAATGTAATACATTTTTGGTTAACTATCGATTCCTCACACTCCTCAGCAAAGGCATAGTTTTATATTGTACTTTTGTCCTGCATGTCTATTATTGACAGATGGGAACCGAGATCAGGAACTGAACAAACTCATGTCGCCCATACGAGTGATGATGTGGCTCAGTGCACTGGATCACATGACCTATCGCAATGCCACTCTGACAAGCACAAGTCAAACTTCTGCTAAATGACCAAAACCTTTTAACAGGAATGCAGTAGCATGACAAAAGAGCATCACATGATCCTGAACGCACACCGAGCATAAGGTCATGTGTTGAGTTTTGAGTGTGCATCACAGCTGTAGCAGGACAGCAGGGAGGACGTGTGTGTGATATGATAATCCTCTGTAGATTAACACCAGAGGCATGATGCTATAGTTGTGCACTAGCAGCATGATACGAGAGCTGAGCAGCGGGATAAATTCAGCTGTCAGGGACACTTAGGCAGACGCACTGAAACAGACACAAATGTGGTGGGGCTGCTAACCAAAAGGACCAGGGTTCAAACCCTCAAACCCCAGAGCGGACACAAGTGTCTCACTGGTCACTAAAGCCAATTTACACCACGTGGACATCTCCATTGCATTATACAATTGTAGAAAATAAAATAAAAAAGTATTCATTATTAAAAATGACGTTAAAAACTTGAAAATTCAACTTATTTGTCTTTATAAACCCTACATATTAAAACACATCTGACAAACGCTGGTGAACATGTTCTGATATGAATAATACTCCCAAACATCTTCTGACGCAATAACCATGTGCTAGTGATTTTACAGTGGTTTTGGGATGTTGTTGCTTTACAGAGCGTCTAAAATTCGCTTAACTTAGAGATATGTATCGGGAGTGAAACTCCACAATATCAAAGATCAACTTGGGAGTCATTTTCGATGTTTATTTCTAAATATCAACAAGTTACGTTAACACTCACTTTATTGTGGAATAAACATGTGAAATACTTTTCCCATTTACCCATTAATATTATGAAACATCTTGATAAATATCGATATCAAATCCAGAAAGAGACCTTGGTAAGACCTTAAATTTAGTACACTGTAAAAAAGTAGTATAAAATGAGTACACTGTAAAATAAAATAATATAGTATTATATAATAATATAGTATTATATATAAAATATTTAATAATGTAACATTTTCAGACACTTTATTGCATGTTAATTGCAATTAAATGAAAATATAGTTTTACTTTATATTAAATGCAATTAGCTGAATATTAGTTAATTAGGACTACATCTTTATATATAGAAATATTGTTAAAGTGTACTGCTAAATGTACTGACAAGCATTTGTAGCAAACTAAAATATACTTTACAATCATTTCTATTTAAACTAAGTCATGTATTTAAATAGTTTTGTATTCACACATATGTAATGAATTTGCAATTTAATACATTAATATATTAACATTTAAAATTACAGTTAAAATTATAGTCAAGTCATTTCCATGTGCTTTAGTATGTTAGTCAACACATCAAAATAGGTGTACTTCTTTAAAGCATGACAAAAGATTAATAAAGCATAATGATTTCAAACGTACTTTAAAGTAAAACTTTTAATTTGCCATGAAAGTCATGAACGTGAACTCCGTTTAAGTGCACTTTTTGTAGCATTTTATTAATTTTATATTATCTGCACATACATATTTTGTTTTAAATACACTTAAGATTTGAAGTACACTACAAGTGCACATTCAATACACTTAAGTGCCACATGGTAAAAGACACAAAAATAAATTAATATACAAATAAAGTTTAAAAAAAACTCTAATAACAAAAAAGTTATATAATTCATTAGTCTTATATTGTACAGATACTTGATGCAATAATATTTGTGGTAATAAGAATATTGGTGATAAATAGGTAATAATAATATCTGTGCAGTCCGAGGTGTTTGTAGTAAGTTTATGTTTCTTTTTCTCCATTCTCTCACTGTCTGTGATAAGGTCAGTAAAAAAAAAAACTCTAATAACAAAAAAGTTATATAATTCATTAGTCTAACTGTAGGTTATATTGTAAAGATACTTGATGCGGTAATATTTGTGGTAATAAGAATATTGGTGATAAATAGGTAATAATAATATCTGTGCAGTCCGAGGTGTTTGTAGTAAGTTTATGTTTCTTTTTCTCCATTCTCTCACTGTCTGTGATAAGGTCAGTAAAGGTGACACATTATGTCTTCACTCAGTAGTTCAGCTTTACTGCACCAGATCCTCTGTTACCGCACATTCACTGCTTTTTTCACTTGTGTTGCCCGGATATCATCACATCTTGTGTGTAAAGAATAGCGTGTACTATCTACCAGCAGCCCTTCTACACAGAGGAAAAAATAGACGGCCTTAAGTTAACCCGGCCCCTTTCCTGTGTTTTAGACAAAACAACCTTCCCAGCCTCTCCTCCACCCCTCCCTCAAAATCTGCCCATACGAAAGGGTGGGGAAACTGCGCAGATGCCATCCTCCTCCATATAAACCACCACTTTTACCTTGAGGTTGTTGAGGTTTACAGTCAAAGGCCTTGTGATGAATGTCTCTCTTTGTAGCTGCTGTCAATCATCTAGTATCCATGGAGACTGCGACTGCATCCGTCTCCCATATGAAAGCCGTATGTTCAGATGTGGGTGGTGTGGATGTGATTAGCGCCGGGCCTCAAAGCAACACCCAATCACTACGTTTATTCAATGGACAATGCCTTGATTATTTACATTGTCTAGCTTATTTATCGCAGGAGTCACAAATAGATTAGGGGAAACACAATTGTGTGAACAATGTAGGAAAACACACTTTCCAAAGTTATTCTAGACTGGGGAAAGGTAGTTTATACAGTGGTTGACCGATATGAGTTTTTAAACGGCCAATGCCAAAACCGTTATATAGAGAGCAGGACGGACGGTGAATCTCAGACAGAGTCTACAAACTTTCTTGTATTTTCTGAGCTGTTTTCTGAGGTATGGATTTAAACGTGGTAAAATGTGTTTACTACATAATCTATTAATTATAACTTGCATTAGCCATCAATATAAAGTTCTTTGAGTGGTTTTATAGAGTCCGGTGTGCTGCTGATGCCCAATATAAAAAAACATACCCTATCGTTCAAACGTTTGAGGTCAGGAACGGGCCTTTAGACCTACATTTAAGTGAAAATTAATGGCACGTAATACGCAGCTTGTTGTGTATTTAGAAACCAGTGTGTAGAACAGATTCACACAAGGTCACATTTCATTATCAAAATAAAATAAAAGTTAATGAAACATATATAAAAATTTACACTGCTTAATTTAAATAGTACAATCTGTGCCATTCCTCACTGTGCTGTTATAGCTTATGTGAAGGATGATAACTTAGGTCGATAATGCTAGTGAAGTACAAAGCCTATAGTTTACATAATAAATAATATTTTAGCATCCAGATACGTCACGAATATGGGCATGACCTGAAGGATCATGTGACACTGAAGACTGGAGTAATGATGCTGAAAATTCAGCATTACACTCTAAAAAATGCTGGGTTGTTTCAATCCAACTTTGGGTCAAATATGGACTAACCCAACCGTTGGGTTAAATTTTTACATTAAATTTTTAACCCAAAAGTTGGGTTAGTCCAAATTTGACCCAAAGTTGGGTTGAAATAACCCAGCATTTTTTTAGAGTGTACAATCACAGGAATAAATTACATTTTAAAATATGTTCAAATTGAAAATTATTATTTTAAATGGTAATAATATTTCAGAATATCACTCTTTATACTGTCTTTCTGCTCAAATAAATGCAGCCTTGGTGAGAAACTTCTACCAAGCCCAAACTTTTGAAGATTAGTGTACTGTATACAGGTGCATCTCAATAAATTAGAATGTCGTGGAAAAGTTCATTTATTTCAGTAATTCAACTCAAATTATGAAACTCGTGTATTAAATTAATTCAATGCACACAGACTGAAGTAGTTTAAGTCTTTGGTTCTTTTAATTGTGATGATTTTGGCTCACATTTAACAAAAACCCACCAATTCACTATCTCAACAAATTAGAATATGGTGACATGCCAATCAGCTAATCAACTCAAAACACCTGCAAAGGTTTCCTGAGCCTTCAAAATGGCCTCTCAGTTTGGTTCACTAGGCTACACAATCATGGGGAAGACTGCTGATCAGACAACAATTTACTCAGAAAACCGAATCAATCTGCCACAGCTTGCAACAAATCCAAAATTGTATCTATTTATTTGTTTGTTAGTTTCATTCATGTGACATCTCTCACAAATTAATGAAACAAAGGAATCACGACTGAAATGTTGCTATCTCCAAAGAATATTGGATTTCTTGACAGTTTGAAACCATTTGAGTGTGCAAGAGGGTGTTTA